CCAACCATCCATTCACCACCACCAGTGTCTAGACCCCGGGGGGTTTCATCGGATCGGTTCTCCCCTCCCGAATGATACTCCTGCACAACGGGGCCTAATCGCCAAAACTCCATTACATTCATTTGATTATTCCTGGCAATAAATATGTTTTCTTTCATCAAAACCGTCTCTCCTGATTGAACTGTAGTCAACACACTATAAAAGACTACAATTCCCACGGTGCCTCTCTCTAAAGAGACAGAGATGAGCAACCTGTTAGAAAGACGCCGTCGAGGAACAGTTTTTAACCGTCCAATTACCCTTTAAAGGGGACCTATCATGCAAAATGCACTTTGTGATGTCTCCCCGGTGCGTCGGGGAACTCACGCAGCGTCAGAAAATAAGACCCTTTCTCTTTTCCTCCGTACCCAAATCTTTTAAAAACGGGTGAACAACGAGTGGATACAGATTCCATCCGAACTGACGTCAAATCGGCGGCGAACCCACAGAAAGTTGCTATCAGAAACAATGCCTGACGTGTTTTGGACGTAATCTCGTCTTTGTTTACATTAGCAAGCCTCGCTAACACTCAGAGCTAACCTGTACTGGAGAGCACATGTGTTTAAAAAGCAGGAAATAAAAAAAGAACTCACCTTGTGATAAACCCGCAAGAGAAAAAGAATTTGAGCTCCATACTGTTTCAGAAATAATCCTTGACGTGGTTTAGAACAGGATGGCGTTTTATCACAGCAGAATTGAACTTTATCTACAGTAGAATTCTGATCAGGCATTAGCTCCGCCTCCTCTTCTCTTTTTTTTCAAGCTTTTTTCAAGCTTCAAAAGAGGGGTTTGAGCAGTATGAGGCATGGCTACAATGGCTGATCTGTTTGGTATTTTGAAAAAAAAAACTTCACAGACATGTTTTGTGTAGGTATGGCCCTACGATATATGTTTCAAATATAGCATGATAGGTCCACTTTAAAGGTGGGGTAGGTAAGTTTGAGAAACCGGCTCGAGATACACTTTTTGTTATATTCCATGGAATGCTCTTAACATCCCGATAGCAATGAATATCTGAAGTGCTTTGACAAAAAATCCATTAAAAAATGTCATCTGCGGAAGCCGTAGTACTGTAAAAAGCACAACCAATCATCTGAGCCGGCCCGGCTAAAATAACTGGATGGCCTACCTGCCTGTCAGCCTTCCATCTGTGCACAAACTTATCTCGTGCCCTCATTGGTCATGTGCGCGTTCGTGTGTGTTGGAGGAGGGGCTCTGTAAGGTAGTGGCAGATTTCTTCCGGCTGTGTATTTTCAAATTCTAGCGCACTCGAGCTGGTTTCTCCAACTTACCTACCCCACCTTTAAGTTAAGAAGTTATATAAGCTTTATCAAGAAAGAAGGAATACCTGAGTTGTTGAGTTTGAGTTTTGCTTATTTGTTTTGAATATTGTAAAGGCCTCTTTTCTTTGTTGCATGTGTAAAAGTTTGTTATTTTATTTTGAGCAAACACATCGCATAATATCATCCAAACCATCGGAGGCCAAGCAACTCTTCAACTGTAAGTAATATAAAAATGTCGAGTTAAAAATGTCTGTTTAAGGCGTCTAGTGGCTTGATAGAAAAACAAGGAAGGAAGCCACGACATATTATATAATATATGTAAGCCCTGCGTGTGAGAGAGAGATTTGGACCCCTGAATAAACGGTCTGCTGGTTGTTGGGACAGGATTTAGAAACACCTTCAAACTAAAAGCATGGACTTACTGAAGAGTTTGAAAGTGTGCATCTATTCTCTGTCTGTTGTCACCACTTTCTAACGCTTGGAAAGGAGACTAAGCATTTCATAATCAGAAGCAAAGATTACAGTAAAGCCATTATGTCGTTGTTCGGAATCAGACACAGGTTTACACATACGAGGAATTTGAAAAAAAAACAATGTAAACTATTATAGTTAAGATCTGGATATACCAAAAAACAACGTGCAGTTTGCTATTGCAAGGTACTTGGAATAATAAAATAAATAATGATGGTTGTATTAATACGCCTTGAAGTAAAAAGATATGATTCTACACTGTATTGAAGTAAACATGTATTATTTTGAATTGTATTTTAGTGAACATGTATTGTTTGAACTGTTTTAAGTAATCACAACTGTTTTAAGTAATCACATATATAGAAATGATATTCTCACTTTCAACTCACTGACCCAGAGATCCTGTTTCACAAACACACCGCTCCTTTTCACCCCCACACACAGATGTTCGTTTTAAGGTCATTAAGGACATCCATATATGTGCACAAAGGTTTAATTGTATGAGAAAGAATAATTTATGTGAAAAACTCCCATGGCAAAGTAAGGGAGTGAATACCGGTGCAGAGATAAAGATTGACTTTTGACTTTGTGAAACTTTAGAATCTCACGTTCTGGTCAGAACTCTGATTCGCTGTATTGAACCCGACCAGGAGTGAATCCAACCAGTAAAAACACTTGGGGGATGTGAGCAGCTCATACAGCTCCTCCTCACGGACTCTCTCATTCGCTTTGGAGTAAAAGGGGAAGGGAAAAGTCAACACATCTCCGCCCCAAAATATGATTATGAATACTGTTGTTTTTTAATGTAAAATGCTTTTTGGTTTGGTGAGTTGGCAGGTCCCGATATCTGTGTCCGCATCGCATCACAAACCTGAAGTCACTTTCTTCTTGTTTGATGAGTTGGCGGGTCCCGACACCTTTATCCGCATCGCATCACAAACCTGAAGCCCGGAGTACTCTGTATAACTTGTATATGTGTTTGGTTTCCTACCAGAAGTAAACTCAGATAATTGTTATAACTTTTGATTCCGGTGTTTTCAATTCCTTTCTTTATTTAATAGAGATTTCAGCCTCATCCAACGAACGGCGCGTAGCAGAGGGGGTGGCTATCAGCCACCACAATAGGTGTTCTGCTCCAACAGCCTTCAAAATAAAATGATGACGTAATTGTTGACTAAATTATGTTGATGTTGCACTCAAGCGGACATCACTCAAGCCATTTCTCACTCATGGCAACTTTATTATGAACCAAAAACTCCGTCCCAGTCATAGGGCCTTTCTCATTTCACTAATTTCCCCTCCTCGACTCCTATCCTCGACTCCTATCCCCATGTCTTAGGGTGTTTCTCAATGTCGAGTAAAGCTGCTCCAGAGCCACTATTTCAAGGATGCTACGTCATCGAGTGCCGCCGAAGCAACCAATGTCCAGCATACTTGGAATTCTACCGAGCCCGGCGTACTTCGTAGCGAGAGAAATTTCGAGGCTGCACATGTGTAGAGTCCGCGGTCTTAAAATCCCCACAATGCTTTGCGCACGGACCAATTTCCCCAAATCTGTGGCGGAAGATGTAAGGCGAGGCCTCTCATATGACGCACACCTGCACACTTGCTCGCCTGTTCCACTCTTTCCGAATGCCAGGAAGTATTCTTGCCTCGCTTCTGAAGCAAGATGCTCGGAAGACATGTGCTACCAAGCAAGCGTCCTCGACATTGAGAAACACCCTTAGTCCCGCCCACAGGAGATGCGAGCGGAGGAGTCGAGGAGGGGAAATTAGAGAAATAAGAAAGGCCCTTCCTCACATTCACACCCTCAGACGGAGCCTTGTGGCGAGAACAGGCAACTGCATGCACCAACTAACCCTGCTTCAACAGTAAACATTACATGCACACATTCATACGTAGTTGGCACAAAGCCACTGGACAAATAAACATAACACATCGTGAACTATGTCGTCACATTGATCAAACGATCATTTTCATTCTGATATTTCATCTGCTGATTTTTAGTCTGATTTTTTATAGAAAGAATAGTTTTGTCATAAAATTGCAAGACATGATTGTTTTAGTTTCCAAAACAGTTTGGTACCAAATATAACGAAGAAAAAACTGAAATATTTGTATTTGAGAAGCTTTAATGGGAAGATTTGGTGCATTTTTCTTGACTTGAAGGGTTTCTGTTGGTCAACTTTATTTTTGAAACTCTCTTCACTCATTACTTTTAGTTCTTAACCCAAAATCATGCTGTATGTGTGACTCTTTAAAGTTCTGTTGGTTAGCACTCACTGTATATGGACATAAAGTAGAGACACTACACACTGATATACACCTGAACATCATCAGGAGAGGACTCTTTAAAGTAGAGACACTACATACTGATATACACCTGAACATCAGCAGGAGAGGACTCTTTAAAGTAGAGACACTACATACTGATATACACCTGAACATCAGCAGGAGAGGACTCTTTAAAGTAGAGACACTACATACTGATATACACCTGCACATCAGCAGGAGAGGACTCTTTAAAGTAGAGACACTACATACTGATATACACCTGAACATCAGCAGGAGAGGACTCTTTAAAGTAGAGACACTACATACTGATATACACCTGAACATCAGCAGGAGAGGACTCTTTAAAGTAGAGACACTACATACTGATATACACCTGAACATCAGCAGGAGAGGACTCTTTAAAGTAGAGACACTACATACTGATATACACCTGGACATCAGCAGGAGAGGACTCTTTAAAGTAGAGACACTACGTATACACCTGAACATCAGCAGGAGAGGACTCTTTAAAGTAGAGACACTACATAATTATACACCTGAACATCAGCAGGAGAGGACTCTTTAAAGTAGAGACACTACATACTGATATACACCTGAACATCAGCAGGAGAGGACTCTTTAAAGTAGAGACACTACATACTGATATACACCTGAACATCAGCAGGAGAGGACTCTTTAAAGTAGAGACACTACATACTGATATACACCTGAACATCAGCAGGAGAGGACTCTTTAAAGTAGAGACACTACACACTGATATACACCTGAACATCAGCAGGAGAGGACTCTTTAAAGTTCTGTTGGTTAGCACTCACTGTATATGGACAGGGCTTTTATTTTCTCTCTGCCTGGAAGTCGTTTCTGAGCTGCAGGGAGTTTAGTGTCCGATGTGTTTCTGCAGAGAGAGTCACTATGGCAGGAGCTCTGCACTTCATTCTGCTCTTACTCCTGCACTTCTCCTCATTTCTCCTCATTTTAACCAAACCTTCTGAGGACACATCTACAGCTTCATCCACTGTGGAGTCATATGCAACTTTTCCTGCAGCTGGGAGAGTTCTTCCTGCAGAGAGAAGCGACTCCACTGAGGTTCCCAGCACAGGATTCACTACCAAGCCAACAGATAGACCTCCAAAAAGCACCACCAATGTGACTAAAGAGGCTGGGAAAGCAAAGGAGAGAGTATCCAAAAAAGATGCAGAGAAAGAAGAAGAAGGACCTTTGGAATTAGGTGAGAGGGTTTATTATTATTATTATGAATTGTTTGCAATGATTGGTCTGTGGAAATGCCTCAAGAAAGCACTTTTGCAATATCATTTGCACTTTATTTTTCCCTTAGGGGCAGTTTTACAACCTGACTGATGGTTTACTAGTTTTGCACGTGCACTTTCCCCATAAACAGAAACGTAAAAGTGTACAGCGATGTGTTACTGTGCAAACAAACAACAGTTCCTCTGAGGACAATGCAACCTGAACTGTCATTTGAATATAGATTAAATAGATCTACACACTGGGAATAAGATGCTCAGACCCCAAATATGTCAAGGTCTGCAAAAGTTAAGTGTACAGCAATGTGTTAATTTGCAAACAAACAAACAACAGTTCCTCTGAGGACGATGCAACCTGAACTGCTTTTTGGGGAAATCTGGGAATAAGATGCTGTGGACCCACATTTGACGCTGGGCTGCAAAGGTCAAAAGTAGTTGCAAGCTTTTAAATAACAAATCAAAGGAATGTTTCAGGGTTAATTCCTCTGGTTCTCTGAGTGTTAGCAGCGCTGTGTTGGATCTGAATATCTGCGGTCAGAGAGCCAGTGTCCGAGGGTTGGGGGAGGATGTTCCTGTACGCACCGAGGCATTTTAGCTGTGTGATTTCTGCTGATGAAAACCAGATGTGATGCCTCAAAAAAATGAACAAGACCCCCACACACTCCTCCAAACCAATCGTGTGATTTTGTCCATGCAGGCTGCAGATTCAAAGATTCAAAGGTTTTATTGTCATATGCACATAAGCTGCAGTGTAGAAATGCCAATGAAAATCTTCTGACCTGAGCTCCTCCAACAATGCAACGTATAATAAAATACACAAATAAAAAGTAGTGCAAAAAGTCTATAGAGAGGCCGTCCCTTTCCGGTGGACCTCCATGGGACCTTATTTCGGAAAAAGTATGTATTAAAGTCAATGGAGAGAGAAAGATTATCTTTCGATCCTGTTTGAATTGTGCCACGAATTACACATATGATGTTTGTCAATTTAAAAGATAATTTTGCAAGTCAAAAAAATAAGAATGTGTCGTAAAACTGTGAAGTAACACTTTTTTTTGTGTGAAACCGCTCAATGAACTACATCTCCCGTCTCGCACCACACACCTAGACGGCCGTCACGTTGGCACATTTCACTTCTTTCTTTCAGAATCAGGCGGAAAGTATTAAAAGAGGTGAAAATCACTCCAAGTCTGGGCATGTTGAGAGCTGTACATACACACAAGGGGAGTGAGTCGGTTCCTAAGAGCCAGCATGCGGGACCGGGACTCTGGGATTTGTAGTCTTTCTAGTTGCGTATTTTTCATAGTCTTATATTTCAACAGTTTTACGACAAACTGTGACTTTTTTGACATGGAAATTATTTGTTAAGATTGACAAACATCATATGTGTAATTCGTGGCACAATTCAAACGGGATAGAAAGATAATCTTTCTCTCTCCATTGACTTCAATACATATTTTTTCCGAAATAAGGTCCCATGGGTCGGAAGTAGATGGGCGGGACTTCGCCTCTCTATAGAGAACCGCAGTGACGCGTCCTAAGACCCGGAAGTAAACTCCTTCCGGTTCCTTCGTCAAATACGCAATGCAATTTCTCCATAGGATTTTGGAAAATAGCTCGAAACAAGGTCTGTGGTTGAGACACATTTAAGAGACGGATCACGTTTTGTTCAGCCGGATAATCTCCACATGTCTACCCTACTTTTATAATTTTCGAATCATAAATCTAGTCGCCAGAAGCAAAATGCTAACGTTATGCTATAAACGAACTACAGCAGGGTCGCTGCTTCAACGTTACGCCAACTTAAGATCCATATTCAAACATACAGATTCTAAATGGTACAAGTTGAAGCGTTTGTTTGAACAGTTTGCAGGAAACAAACAGCACAAAACTCCATTATCCTCTGTTTGTGAGAAATTATGTTATAGTTTCATAGCATGTAAAACAGTAGTTCCACATAAAAAAGTAGTTTGTTTTCTTGCTGTGATTTTACTGTACTTTGCATACTGTACGTTTCAGTTAGATATGCAGCTGCCTGTTAGCTTAGCATAGGAAACAATTAATGTGGCTCTGTGCAAAGCTAAAAAACGATCTATCTAGCAGCAAAGAAGAAGAATTAGCAAGTGGTTTGCTAATTGATTAGACAGAGCCAGGCTAGCTCCAGTCTTTATGCTAAGCTAAGCTAAGCGACTGTGCTAACCAGCTGCTAGTTTTGAACTGGCATATACTTCAGTTAAATATGACGCTACAGGCAGCAGCCCGTTAGCTTAGCTTAAAGAATGGATACAGGAGGAGGAAAACAACTAATGTGGCTCTGTGTAAATCTAAAACAATCTACCTAGCAACAAAAAACTATAATTAGCAGGAGGTTTGCTAATGGTTTATATGTTAAACAAAACAAGGCTAGTGTCAGTCTTTATGCTAAGCTAACCAGCTGCTGATTTTCAATTTAAATCTAATATGAGCGTGGTTTAAATCTTCATCTACCTCTCGAAATATACTTCAGTTAATTATGAGGATACAGTCAGCAACACGTTAGCTTAGCTTAAACAATTAAAACAGGGGGGAAACAACTAATGTGGCTATGTGCAAAGCTAAACAAATATCTACCTAGCAACAAAGAAAAATAATTAGCAGGAGGTTTGCTAATGGTTAAACCTACACAGAGCCAGGCTAGTTTCAGTCTTTATGCTAAGCTAACCAGCTGCTAGTTTTCAATTTAAATCTAACATGAGTGTGGTTAAATCTTCTCCTCTAACTCTCGACATATACTTCAGTTAAATATGAGGCAACAGTCAGCAGCCCGTTAGCTTAGCTTAGCTTAAATAATTCAAACGGGGGAAACAACTGATGTGGCTCTGTGCAAAGCTAATAAAACTATCTATCTAGCAGCAATGAAGGATAATTAGCAGGTGGTTTGCTAATGGTTTATACTTTAAACAAAACCAGGCTAGTGTCAGTCTTTATGCTAGGCTAAGTTACTAAGATAACTAGCTGCTGTTTTAAAATCTGGTTTAAATCTTGAAATGTCAAATGATTTCTCTTCAGTTTTATGCGAAGGAGTTCTTCCTGGTGTGTTTGTAGTAATTCAGTGAGTCTAAAGTCGTGTTTAGGAGGTAAAAGCCTAAACTGCTTTACATCTTTGTAGAAAGGAGGTCCAGCAGGAGCGTTAAGATAGCAAAGAAGCCCAAAACGATCCAGAAGAAACCCAAACTCGTCCCCAAGAAGAAGCCGACGGTTGTTAAGAAATCCAAACCTCATGTCAAACACAGAGCGAGCCAATCAGAGGAGGCCGTCCCACGTATGTACGGAGATCTGTGTATACAGCATGTCACATGGGTCACATGGTAGTGGCAAATAGTTGGAAGTGTTTCACTGACTCTCTGGGATTTGCTGTTTCACGAGAGTTCAGGTGATCTTTGAAGCTCTCAGAGACGTAAACCCACAGCAGTGCTTCAAACACACCATGAAGCTATTTGCTCATTTAGCGCTTTCCCAGATGTGATTCATGTGGACCTCGAACTGAGGCAGTGCTGTATATCTAAACTTGACTGCTGTCCTAAAGACTAACCACCAACAGATCTGTGATGAGAAGCTTCTCCTCTTTGGTGATACCTGTCGTCACTTAATCTGTAATCTACATTGCTTTAAATTACATGACATTGTGATACAGGCAGGGGTTAAATGTGTGTGTCAGCGACGTGCAGTCAGGGGAGAATGGCCATCGGGAGAGTCAAGGTTCAAGGTTCTTTATTGTCAATCTGACATAGCTACAGAGTAATTATGCAGTTGAAAATCTTATGTCACAGGCTTCTCCAACAATGCAACATAATAACATAACATAATAACAATAAGAGCAAGAGCAATACAAAAATAATAATAGTTATAAAAATGAAATAAAGTTATGATGTGGAATAGTGCAGTATGAGTCTATATACAAGTTATTGGAATGATATATATATATTAGGTATTAGATACATACTACTGAGTAGCAGTTGAATGTTTGAAGTTGTTTCAACAGTTCAATTTTTTAACAGTCTCACTGCCCGCGGGAAGAAACTGTCTCCAAATCTTCTTGTCCTTGCCAGGATGCTGCGGTAACGTCTGCCAGACGGCAACAGAAAGAACAGTTTGTGGCTGGGGTGATGGGGGTCTTTGATAATCCGTAGTGATTTCTTACGGAGATAAGAAGATAATCCGTAGTGATTTCTTCCTGAGCCGCTGGGAGTAAAGGTCCTCCATGGATGGCAGCTCCGTCCTGGTGATGTGCTGTGTAAAAGTCGGGACTTTTACCGGTGGGCCACTGCCTTTGGTGGGCCGCTGGCCATCTGTGTGTTCTGGAGAATCACAGAACGGACGTCAACGGCCTGGTTCGCTGAAAAAAATGTACACAAGCTGTAGAGATTTTAACTATTGTGCTACAACATAAAATATGTCAGTAAATACCCCACTGGTGAATTTAAAAATGGAGGTTGCTACAAGTGTCTAAATGAGACGACTCAACGTCATCACGTCCAACATTAGCCACCTTTAGCTTAGCGGTGGTGACGTGAAGTCATGTGACCGTGCTGTGTTCCTTTATAGCCCAACATTAGCCACCTTTAGCTTAGCGGTGGTGACGTGAAGTCATGTGACCGTGCTGTAGTTCCTTTATAGCCCAACATTAGCCTCCTTTAGCTTAGCGGTGGTGATGTGAAGTCATGTGACTGTGCTGCAGTTCCTTTATAGCCCAACATTAGCCGCCTTTAGCTTAGCGGTGGTGACGTGAAGTCATGTGACCGTGCTGTAGTTCCTTTATAGCCCAACATTAGCCGCCTTTAGCTTAGCGGTGGTGACGTGAAGTCATGTGACCGTGCTGTAGTTCCTTTATAGCCCAACATTAGCCCAGGGTTGCCAACTTTGGGTACCTGGCTGGAGTGAGATTTTGATATCATGGGTTTAATTCGGTTTAATTACACATATGCGCACGAAATGACTGCTATCGTGTCAGCAGCGGGACCTTAGCATATAGGATATATATACAATATATACAAATACACAATAATGGACACAGACTATAAAGGGCACACAGTTTCATTCACTAATGAAAGTCAAACATGTTTGTTTCCACTGTTTTATTGTGTGCCTGTCGCGATAAGCAATTAATTGACTTATCGTACGATAAATAAAAATGCACACACACAAACAAATCTACAGACTTACTCCAAACTGCCAAATATATTAATTAACACACTCGCACTCTCATATACTCTTTGACTCTATTTTGGCCTAGTAGAACAATAAGCAGCAGACTTTTACTTTTTTATCATTTCTACTGGATTTTAGATCTGCGCATGCGCAATACGGGTCGGCAGTTGCGGCTCCAGAGTATTTTTGTTGGGTAATCTATGGTAGGGCTAACCCATACAGTGGTGGGGCTCAAGTCAGTATTTGCAATGTAATTACATACACGCTCCCACCGACAGTGAAACGCCACGCGTGAGGTTTAGATCATTTCCCTGTCTCAATCCAAATTGAACTGTATGAAATAAAAAGGCACATTTGTCTTGCAGTAAATAAAAAGGGCGACCTGGAGCCAATCCTGCAATTTCCCCACAGGTGAAAGAGTTGACATGCTGAAGACCCAACCCCTGCAGGGGGGTCTGGGGGGATTCTCCCCCAGGAGATTTTTTGAAATACTAACATAAAATACACATTCTGGTACTGTCTTGAGAAGAAAAATAAATAAATCTATTACTACACGACATATTTAAACAAATTAATTAATTTTAGTTTTTTGTGACTTTGTTCTGAAAGCTGAACCTGCTGCTCCTCACAGAGAGAAGAGGGAAGAGGCTGTGTGAATTACTTTACATTGTGGATAAGGGTGGATAGCCCCCATTGTTCTGTGTGTCAAAATGAAAGACAGCCCACACACCTATCAATCATCAAACCGTGGGGTCTTATTTCATTACGTGTTGATTTCTATCAACACGTAATGTTGTATCGATGTATAGAGATGTACTACTACCGCAAAAGTATTCTCCGTCGGGACTTCCTGCAACAACACCACGCCGTTATCGTGATTCTGATTGGCCAGAAGACATTATCAAAGATGTTCTATTGAGAAGACGATCACTACGTGACAAAAGTTTTCAAAACCGTTTCTAGTCTTCGGTATTCTTGTTTTTGGCGTGAGAATAGTTTGGGCAGCGTGAGAGCGTGAGATTGAGAGTGAAAGCGTGTGTCACACGCCAGATGCGTGAGAGTTGGCAACCCTGCATTAGCCTCCTTTAGCTTAGCGGTGGTGACGTGAAGTCATGTGACCGTGCTGTAGTTCCTTTAATGCCTAACGTTAGCCACCTTTAGCTTAGCGGTGGTGACGTGAAGTCATGTGACCGTGCTGTAGTTCCTTTAATGCCTAACGTTAGCTTCTTACTTCAGAAATCATAAAGTGGTGTTAAAGGTGGAGATTATCCTGCTGAGCTAAACGTGTAAGTATCATAAATGTTGTGCACGACACAGAGATTATTTCTACAATAATCAAAAATGACATGGAGGAATCCCATTGGACGAGGGAGACGATGCCTTTGTGGTTGACCTACACACATTCTTCATAAATGCATCACTTTATAGCTTCAATAGTTTGTGGTTGGCAGCAACGAGGAAACTTTTAAAGATCCGAGCAACACTTCAGCTCCACAGAGATCCAGCTGGACTTCAGGGCTAAAGAGGGGAGAGGGTCTTTATGAGAAGCCCCCCGAACATTTAGCATTTATTTAAACTACTAAACTGTAAAGCTCTCTGGCAGGAAGAGGCGTGTGAACTGAGCTGACCTGCAGACAAGGAGAGTCTCTGTGAGGCTGCAGAGGACGCTTTAACACATCTCACCCTGAAAACATAGAGAATCCTATAAAGGAAGTTTAACACTCATTTATTCATCTGTCTTCTGTCACCTCAAATGTGCTCCTTTAATGTTATACTGTAATACCTGTGCTTTATATAACATTAACATATATAAAGACATTAACAGACAGTTTCCTTCTTCTTTCCTCATGCTTTTAGAGTTTCATCTCTAAGCTCTCACAAGGTCAAGTGACTACATATGTTTGATAATATATATGTACGTGTCTATGTGCTGCCGTACTTGTCATTAGAGTATATCCTGAAGCAAAGTTACTTAAAATGTTCCTTATATGAGTTATTAACCTGAACTAGAATGCTTTGCTGCTGTTATCAGGAACCAGCGCTGCACCAGAGTTGGAACAAATGGATCAAAATGAAAATATTCAGCAAATATCACTCATAGGAATCGATGTGGTAGATGTATTCCCTAAAAGTCTATAAAGACACTCAGGACTTGGACTGCTTTCACTTGTTCTCCGTGATTATTCTGATCTTTAACACCGTCTGTGCAACAACTGAACTAGTGGCTTCTTATTCTGCTGCTACTCCTTTAATGTCATGGTGTGATAGACATATTTAAACGCTGAATAATCCCCTGTGTATTGTGTCCCAATGTGTGTGTGTGTCCTAAAGAGTGTCCTCCTCTGGGTCTGGAGTCTCTGAAGGTCAAAGACCACCAGCTGAGAGCTTCTTCCTCCAGAAGACGAGGACTCGGTCCTCACCGCGGCCGACTCAACATCCAGGTATCAATAAAACCAGAGTGTTCCCAACTACGCTGAATGGCTGACAATTCTCAGGAGTATTTATACAATCTGTTTGCAACTTAAAACAAAAAACCAATATATCATATTCCAATGACTTGTATATAGACTAATAATGGAAGGATTATAAAGGCTGCATACAAAAAATACTATTGGATTTAAAGGGGAATATGAGAAAATAACTAATAAAGAATAAGTGTGTGTGTGTGTGTGTGTGTGTGTGTGTGTGTGTGTGTGTGTGTGTGTGTGTGTGTGTGTGTGTGTGTGTGTGTGTGTGTGTGTGTGTGTGTGTGTGTGTGTGTGTGTGTGTGTGTGTGTGTGTGTGTGTGTGTGTGTGTGTGTGTGTGTGTGTGTGTGTGTGTGTGTCAGTCGGGTGTAGAGGACGGGGATATCTACGATGGCGGCTGGTGTTCTCAGCTCAGAGATCAGAGCCAGTGGCTGCAGGTCGACGCTCTCAGACTGACCCGTTTCACTGGAGTCATCCTGCAGGGCCGGGCCTCCATCTGGAGGTCAGTGTGAACAACAAGCATACATAATAATAATAATAATCTTTATTTGTATAGCACCTTTCATACAATAAGTGCAGTCCAAAGTGCTTCACATGGACATTTCACAGAGAATTGATATCACACAGAATACAGTTACCAGTAAAAGACACGAAGACCAACTAAAAATAGCAAAGAATAGACATATACAAGAAATACATTTAGATTAAAGGTACAACGAGGAAAGTGTGCATTAAAAGGAGGATAATGCAAATTCAACACAAAACCAGATGACAGGTTAAAATGCACCGCAGTGCATTGAGAACGTGCAGCAGAGCAGGAGTTTGCTTCCTAAAAGGCTCAATTGTACAAATGTGTTTTGAGTTTTTTAAAGACTTCCACCGAGATAAGATAAGATAGTACTTTATTGATCCTAATTTGGGAAATTATATATTATAGTATATCATAATTATAGTATATCATTCAATTCAATCTTTTTACAATCTTTTTTATTGTTTTCAATCTTTTTTAATGTTATTATAGTTTTCTTTAAATAGTTTTCTATCTGTGTTTTTAACTCTTGTTTTACTTTGATGTATGCACCACGACATCAAGTCAAATTCCTCGTACGTGTGAACCTGCCTGGTGATAAACCTGATTCTGATTCTGATGATAAATGCATAATATGTTCTCCACTGGATGGAGGGACGCATTTTGGACTTGGAGAATTTTTCTCTTACAACGTATTTACCTATATTGTGTGTTTATATACACCGAAACAAATTGCTTGGATGTGTAAACCAGCTTAGCAAAAAACCTGATTCTGATATGTAAGATATAGAAGAATACTTGAGTATATGATCTATATCTTACATATCAGAATCAGGTTCTTGCGAAGGTGTACACATCCAAGCAGTGAATATATGACAGAATGTGACATGTGTTCCTGTGCAGCTGGAACCTGGTGTATTCCTACAAAGTTCAGTTCAGTAACGACACGCTGGTCTGGAGGCCGGCGATGAACGGGACCAAAGAGGCTGTGAGTAATATATAGTTTTATTATTAACATTCAAAATAAACTCTGATGTCTCCGTGCTCTTTTCTACGTCTTTCTGCTTCTCATTTCACTTTCTACGCTGCTATCCAAACCACTGACATTCTTGTCCAAAGACACGACACTGTGCAACACACTCAGTATATCTACAAATATTCCAATAAAAAAAGTAAGAAAATTCAATGAGAGAAAAAAAGTATCTACATAATAAAATATAATAATAATAGAACTTCCTAAACAATCTTAAAGTGGACCTATCATGCTATATTTGAATAATATAGTGTAGGACCATACCTATATAAGGCATATTTATACTTTTTTCTTTTCAAAATACCAAACAGATCATGCATTTTAGCCATGCCTCATTTCGCTCAATTTGCACTTTTTTTTAGCTCTGTTTTAGCAAGGGCTGATTCAGTGAGAACAGCACCACCTACAGGCCTGGCATATGTACTACAGCGTCTCCAGCGCTTTCGAACGGCAATGGCCGTGGCTGTCTCCTCCTGATTGGTGGAGTTGGCCCAATAGCCGTAGTGCCACCGTCCTGACGTCAGGACAGTGTTCAAATCTGGATCAGTTTTTATCAGATCCGTTGCAGCCCCTTTTTTAGAGATTTGGGTATGGAGGAAAATAGAGAGGGTTGTGTTTTCTGACACTTGGTGAGTTCCCTGGAACACCGGGGACACATATTCATGTAGAAAAGACGTACAAAAGTGCATTTTGCATGATAGGTCCCCTTTAAATACTGGCAAGAATTAGAAAATAGCTCTAATTCCCCTCCTCGACTCCCCTCCTCGTCTCCTATCCTCGACTCCTATCCTCGTGTCTTAGTCCCGCCCACAGGAGATGCAAGCGGAGGAGTCGAGAAGGGGAACTGAGGACCGAGGAACGAGGAGAGAGGAGTCGAGGAGGGGAAATTAGAGAAATGAGAAACCTTCTATGTGTTTCTGTAATGTTTTGTGAACCTGAGCTTTTTATGGTACGAGAGCAAACAAGTCACAAAATGAAAGAAAAAAAGACTGAAAGAGTTTAACATTTAAATCAAAACAAGCCACGGTAACAATATTAAGTGGAGGTTAATAAGTTCATTAAAGAATCAGGAATCAAGAGTGTGAAACAAACAACAACAAACCACAGTAGCCATGGTTACAACAACAACGTGGTGACGGTTGTGTACGGAATGTCGTGATTTAAAAACACAACTCTGTACCCTGTAACAAATCACCGCTAATGGAGATAATACCACAACACAACACAAAATAAACAAATCTAGTAACGCTTACAACTAAAAATAGGCCTGAATATATAAATTATATTAAAAAAATACGGAGTTAAAATAGAAACAAGGCAATTCATGGAGACGCAAATAAATGAGATAATTAAATAATAATAACAGGCAAATAATACAAATAAAGAAGAGAGAAAGAGGGTTGTGAAACTAACTCGACCTTTGGAGTTTTTATCAGATATATAAACATGTTTCTGTAATATTCTAAAAACCTGTGACTTCTTGTTTTAAAAGAACAAGAAAAGTAAAAAAACAACAATTCAAAACGGATGGAGAGTTTTGAAACCAAAAGATTAAATCACAACAACAGAACTACAGTAGCCATGGTAACACCAACAACAACAACATCAACGTGGTGTCGGAATGTCATGATTTGAAAACTCAGTTATGACCATACAGTCTATGGTTATTACTCAGCTCTCATCATCAAACCTTCATCATAGCATTGAGGGACATCCGGCTCCTGAATGCAGACGTTAGTTCAGTTCGTCCAGCAGCGCCTCGTCCCCCGGGCGGAGACTCTGACCAATAGGATGGAGGCTCTGAAACACAGGATGGTGGACAGAAAGACCCACGCTGAGGACAGAAAGACCCACGCTCAGGACAGGGAGGCGGCCATCAGGTTTGTGGCTCAGAGGATGCTGGGAGACAGGAAGGAGGAAGAGGAGGAGGAAGAGGAAGATCTGTGCTTCAACAAACTCTTCACCTTCATCAACAGCCTGCAGGACAAACAGTGGGAGAACCTCAGGGACCAGATGAGAGAACCAGTGAGTCCTTCAACTTTCATTAACAAACTGTCCCTGAACCTAGAGAGTATACAAAGTACACACTGCAGTACAGGAAGCAGAGGGGAGTATCTGGTACTTTAGTAAAAGTATAAGTACTTAGATGTTGTACTTGAGTAAAAGTAGAAGTACTCAGATCTTGTACTTGAGTAAAAGTAGAAGTACTCAGATCTTGTACTTGAGTAAAAGTAGAAGTACTCAGATATTGTACTTGAGTAAAAGTAGAAGTACTCAGATCTTGTACTTGAGTAAAAGTAGAAGTACTCAGATCTTGTACTTGAGTAAAAGTAGAAGTACTCAGATCTTGTACTTGAGTAAATGTAGAAGTACTCAGATCTTGTACTTGAGTAAAAGTAGAAGTACTCAGATCTTGTACTTGAGTAAAAGTAGAAGTACTCAGATCTTGTACTTGAGTAAATGTAGAAGTACTCAGATCTTGTACTTGAGTAAAAGGAGAAGTACTCAGATCTTGTACTTGAGTAAAAGTAGAAGTACTCAGATCTTGTAGCCTATTTTGTACAGTAAAAGTAAAAGTACGCAGATCTTGGCTGTAATTTCCAGATGACCAGATGAGAGAACCAGTGAGTCCTTAACCTGAACTTTCATTAACAAACTGTCCCTGAACCTAGAGAGTATACAAAGTACACACTGCAGTGCAGGAAGCAGAGGGGAGTACTCAGATCTGGTACTTTAGTAAAAGTATAAGTACTCAGATCTTGTACTTGAGTAAAAGTAGAAGTACTCAGATCTTGTACTTGAGTAAAAGTAGTAGTACTCAGATCTTGTACTTGAGTAAAAGTAGAAGTACTCAGATCTTGTACTTGAGTAAAAGTAGTAGTACTCAGATCTTGTACTTGAGTAAATGTAGAAGTACTCAGATCTTGTACTTGAGTAAAAGTAGAAGTATTCAGATCTTGTACTTGAGTAAAAGTAGTAGTACTCAGATCTGGTACTTTAGTAAAAGTATAAGTACTCAGATCTTGTACTTGAGTAAAAGTAGAAGTACTCAGATCTTGTACTTGAGTAAAAGTAGTAGTACTCAGATCTTGTACTTGAGTAAAAGTAGAAGTACTCAGATCTTGTACTTGAGTAAAAGTAGTAGTACTCAGATCTTGTACTTGAGTAAATGTAGAAGTACTCAGATCTTGTACTTGAGTAAAAGTAGAAGTATTCAGATCTTGTACTTGAGTAAAAGTAGTAGTACTCAGATCTTGTACTTGAGTAAAAGTAGAAGTACTCAGATCTTGTACTTGAGTAAAAGTAGTAGTACTCAGATCTTGTACTTGAGTAAATGTAGAAGTACTCAGATCTTGTACTTGAGTAAAAGTAGAAGTATTCAGATCTTGTACTTGAGTAAAAGTAGTAGTACTCAGATCTGGTACTTTAGTAAAAGTATAAGTACTCAGATCTTGTACTTGAGTAAAAGTAGAAGTACTCAGATCTTGTACTTGAGTAAAAGTAGTAGTACTCAGATCTTGTACTTGAGTAAAAGTAGAAGTACTCAGATCTTGTACTTGAGTAAAAGTAGTAGTACTCAGATCTTGTACTTGAGTAAATGTAGAAGTACTCAGATCTTGTACTTGAGTAAAAGTAGAAGTATTCAGATCTTGTACTTGAGTAAAAGTAGTAGTACTCAGATCTTGTACTTGAGTAAAAGTAGAAGTACTCAGATCTTGTACTTGAGTAAAAGTAGAAGTACTCAGATCTTGTACTTTAGTAAAAGTATAAGTACTCAGATCTTGTACTTGAGTTAAAGTAGAAGTAGTCAGATCTTGTACTTGAGTAAAAGTAGAAGTACTCAAATCTTGTACTTGAGTAAAAGTAGAAGTACTCAGATCTTGTACTTGAATACAAGTAGAAGTACTCAGATCTTGTCCTTTAGTAAATGTAGAAGTACTCAGATCTTGTACTTGAGTAAAGTTAGAAATACTCAGATCTGGTAAAGTGATTTAAGAGTTGATTATATTTCACATCATTAATCCAGATCTCTAAAGTAACTAAACTAACAGTACTTGAGTAAATGTACTTAAAATAATAAATATAATTGAAATCATGAGAGCCACTCATTTGGCCATAGCTAGCTAGTTAGCTAAACATTTGCTAGCAAGCTTGTTGGATAGGTAGCTTACGTTAGCTTAGGTAGCTAACTTTAGCTAGGCCTACCTAAGCTAACGTAAACTAGCTCACTAGTTAGATATAGCTAGCATTAGAGCTATTTAGGACACACATTACCCTGCAGCTACAGAGCTTGTTTCTGCTCAAAGATGTAGAATCCACAGCTTCTGTTTCAGAGAAGGCCTTAGCTTCAGTATCTCTGTAGAAGCTTTTAAAAAACAACTGAAGACCCATCTTTTTACATTGGCTTTAGTTTATACTTGAGATGTGTTCTGATGTCTGTTCCTTTAGGGACTCCACGTGCTCTGTGTTTTGTTTTTATGTTAATCTTAATTTCTGCCTCATGTTGTTATTGTATTCATGTTTCGGTGGTCTTCATTTGAACTTTTGTTCTTTCTTGAGAAGAACTTTGTGAATTATATTCCTGTGAAAGGTGCTATACTAAATAAACGTATGATGATGATGATATGAACCTGCTCTCCTCCTCAGCTGACGCAGGCTCACCTGGCTCAGGTGTCCAGGAGGATCGTCACGGTCGTCTCTGAGCTCGTTCTGCAGGTCCTGGTTCCGGTTCTGATGGACCAGCTGCAGCCTGGAGACCCTTCAGAGGGTTCAGACAGGAACTCCTGCAGGTGGGAACATGCACCTGTCACTCATAAATAATATAATAAGCCTCTTAATGCCAAATGATCCCAAAGTGTGTCTAAAAAACCTACTTCAGACAAGAAATAAATACACATTAGCTTTAAAAGACTGATATTTTCTTTTTAAATTAAAGGTGGGGTAGGTAAGTTTGA